AATTGTATTTGTGCTTTTACACTCATAACACAAATATTTAATTGTTTTTCATTTTTATATTCATATGTATAAGTTTTAAATTCTATTGTATTGTGTCATGTCATTGTTAGCCACCTTGAGTCCCTATTGGAAGAAAGTGGGATAAAATATAGCAAATAATAACAGTAGTAATAGTAATAATAATAGTACCAAATGTTATTGAATGCCATTATTATTATTATTATTATTATTATTATTATTATTATTATTTTAAAAAACTGACTGTCATATGCTGGCTAGGGCTTCTCTTTAACTCCCATATCTGAAATAAGAATTCAAAGGAGTAGAGGTCTCAATGATTTCTATGCTGTTTGTTCTACTAAAAGAAAATTCTCATTTCGGAGTTATAGCATTGTTCTTCCATTCTATTGGCCATGTTTCTTCCTATGGAATCCTGAGATCTGTACTTTGGTGAGGCACTTTTGCTCTCTGGTCAAAGATTAGTAATATGTTTCCTAATCTGCCAATCCCAGGAGCCCATAGGACAGAACTATGGCAGGTGACGTCAAATTATTGTATCTCAGACGATGCAGTGGACCCTATGAGATAGATGTATATCAATCATAACCCACCAATTTACTTATGATTCATTGTTGGGGAGTGTTCCAACCTAAATATAAATACTAATAAAACATTGGTAAAGTCACCCTTTTTATTTCCTGTTAAGAAACTGGCTGCTTATTGTTGGCAACTGCCTCTTTAACCAGATTATGAGGAAGTTATATTGAGCAATGCTTAAATTCTAAATAAAAAGCACTCTATGAATTCTAAACTGAATTGTGATGACAGATGTATTAACTGTATGAATTTTAATGCTGTTGTATATACTGAACCCTCTCAAGAATATGCCCTGGGAGGAAATACAAATGGAGAAATTTTCATGATGGAAAGGGAGACTACTTTTGGAGTAAGAGAAACACATGTATTATTTTTTTCACTGTCAGAGACAATACCACGGTAAAAGCATTCTCCTCTTAAAACCATCAGTACATTCTTGATTGCTTTGAGCAGCTATTTATAACTGAGTAGCACTTTCTCTACATACAAAGTGGGACATGGCAAAAAGGCCCCTGTAGAGGATGTGAGATGGTTCTTACCAGGGCTGCAGCCAAGGGGGGGGGGGATGGGGTGTTACGGGTTCAATCTCCCCCCCCAAAATTTTTCAGGTAAAAAAACCTGGTTTACTCATGAATTTTAACTGGATAACCAAATCCCTATGCTAAGTCTATGAGAAGCAAAATCCCAGCAGAACCACAAATGCTATCTCAAGCAAAATTTGACAATTTATTCACAGTCATTACTTGCAGCAATAGCTGATATGGTGGAAGCAACCAAGTTGGCCCAACCACAACTGGTAGGCAAAGCCTAAGGCAGTGGGTGTGGGCATGAAGGTCCTCATGAAGGAGACCAGACTTGATGAGGGTGGTTGACAGGGGTGGAGCTGCAGGTCATTTGAGACTGCTCTGCCCCTTGCTGTGTTCTTTGCTTCAGCGTAAGGTAGGAGGTAGGTTCCTAATGGGGAATTAGACCTTCACACCTGTATTTTCACCTCATGCTAGGCTGCATGTTAGGCCTTCCTGGAAGAGGCTGTTTGCTTTGCTGCCACAGGAGATGCCATTTTCTACAGTGTTTGAGAGGACTTGGCAGGTCCTGCTTGTTGAGGCTCATAATCTGGCCCCCTGAAAAGCACAGAAGTTCAGCAGTCACACTCTCTCAGCCATAGGGTAAGATACACTCAGGCTAAAAATAAATCTTAATTATATTACTTATATTCATTATGGTGAATATCCTGGTAGCGTCTTTTAGGGCTGTGCTTTTGTTTTATGCAAAGCCTCATCCATTTGGGGGATTGTAATCCCAAAAAACTCCATAAGAGAAACTTAAGTTAAAATACACTTTATGATGTTTCCAGGTATATGACAACTGTGATAATTTGTGCTTGCTTTAAAAGTTTATTCTTTATTTTTTCATAAACTATCAAGTAATTTTTGAATAATTCGGTACCAGACTAAAGGTATTTTATGTAGTTCCTAAAAAATTGATAATACATATAGGTCATTGATCTTGATTTTTACATATGCCAATTTAAAGTGTGTGTGTGTGTAGAGAGAGGGGTGGGAGAGGGAGGGAAGTCATTTTCAACTCTTAAATGTTTGAAAACATACATAAGAAGGACAATGGAGCAAGACAGATTGACTGTACTTGCACTCTTGAGTGTCCACTGAAGTTTATTGATGAAGCCTGATTTCTATCAAACTGTATTTGACAATGTTTTCAAGTGTTTCCAACAGATGTTTTGATATTCTTTTGTAAATCTAAATTGCCAGTTGTAACTAAAGTATAAAATTGATTTAATCCAGTCTATATAAAATATAGAATGAACCATGCTATTTAAATTATTTTGTGTTTTGAAACTTTTCTTCATGATTCACTAAAAAAAAAAGTTTCAACCCTCCCACCACCACCCCTGATTTTTTTCTGGCTATGGCCTTGGTTCTTACAAAAACTGTTTGACAGAAAGAAAGAAGACATTTTTCTAAGAAGAGAAGAGTGGAAGTTGTTATTTAATCCTTCCTAATGGTATACTCCTAAGTTATTTTAACTTATGATGATTCTTTTGGTTGGAAAATAAAGACATTACCTTCCAATTTGGGGTAGGTCTCTCTTTGTCTAGTTTTGTTTTTCAGTTGTGCACTGCTCAGTACTCACTATAACCTAAGTAACATCGTCTTTGATATTTTCTGTGATCAAGAGTGTTCTACTTTCAGAAAAGGATTGCTCAGCAAAGCCTACATGACTCGCACTATGTCAAATTACTGTGAAACATTTGTCCTTTTCTATGAGAGCAGCTCAGGGGCAGGCAATTCCTTTCTTCTTTTTTATGGACTGCCTGTCTATTACACTAGTGAGGACTGTTTTGATAATCTGGACAAACTGGGCAATTCAAATAGCAATAGAAAAATCATTGCATTTAAACTGTGGACTGATGGGAATGCAATTTTGTTTGTCTAAAATGAAAGACAAGAATTTTGTTTTTACACTCTCCAACTGTCCCAACTATTGACAGAGACAGTCTCAATTAATTCTCACTTGTCCTACTTTTTAATCTGCTTTTAAAATGTTCCAGTTTTTTTCTCTGCCCCCTATTTCATCCCCTTCACTGAACCTGGACATAAAATTTTTCAGTCAATTAAATCATCAGGGCACAGAAGCATTGTGAAGGTTAAATCTGGCTCTTTCCAGTAGACTGATAAAAAAACCCACCTACATTTGTTTGTTCCTCCTCATTAATAATTTTATTTATTTATTTATTTACTTTATTTGTATACCGCGGTTTCTCAGCCCTTAGGCGACTCAACACGGTTAACAACAGCAGCAGCAAAAATTCAATGCTAGCATCATACAAACTATTTAAAAATAATTAACACTAAGTAATTACACATCAGTAAACAACTCATTAGCGTCTCATAACTAGAATCATGATCCAGCTCATCATCCGTAGTTCAGTTTTCCTATATTCATTGCACTGGCTATTCAAACGTCTGTTTAAATAACCAGGTTTTCACTTTTCTCCGAAATACCATTAGTGAGGGGGCCGATCTAATGTCCGTGGAAAGGGCGTTCCACAGCCGAGGGGCCACCACTGAGAAGGCCCTGTCCCTCGTCCCCACCAAACGTGCCTGTGTTGCAGGCGGGATCGAGAGCAGGGCCTCCCCAGAAGATCTTAAAGTCCTAGTGGGTTCATAGGTGGAGATGCGTTCGGATAGGTAACTTGGGCCAGAACCATTTAGGGCTTTATAGGCCAATGCCAGCACTTTGAATTGTGCCCGGTAGCAAATTGGTAGCCAGTGGAGCTGGCGCAGCAGAGGAGTTGTATGCTCCCTGAGTGCCGCTCCTGTTAGTATCATGGCTGCCAATATCATTTGCTATCTTGAACACACTCTGATGTTGCTTGGTCACATGTAGGAAGATATGTGTTTGTTTTTGAGTCTAGAAAGTCTTACCTGACAATTTCACACATGATTTTTCCATACTATATATATCTTCTCCCCATTTAAAGAAGGATGCAAATCAAAATAATGGGATACATTTATGATTAGAGGAGAAATGCTTTTGTCAAAGCTCCTCCGTTTTGGGACCCAGATTGAGCTGCTCCATTTGACACCCAGGGTTTTTCAATTTCTTGCTCTTTTTTAACCTCTTGAAGACAATCCTAATATGTAATTCATTGTAGGTTTCCATGGAACTTTTCTGAGATAGGCTGAGGTTCCTAGATATCATGTAATACCCATTCTCAACAAAATACATTCTCAACAAAATGTACAGTGCAGAATTTCAGGTGCCCATACATAGCAAAAAAGTCAACTTTTTTTAAAAAAAATGTAAAATGTATATGAGCTGACCTAAGTTTAAGGTCTTTGGGGAAAGGCTTAGATCTTGCACCTTCAGATCGGTGGTTGGTGAGAACATGAGTGAGAGCATTCTCCATGGCTGTTCCCAGTGGTCCAGTTATCCCCACCTCTGCTCACTTTTTGTTTTTTTTAAGACTCTTTTATTTAAACAGGGATTTGGTTGATTTTGGTCATACAGCAGAATATTGTTTCAATTTGTGTGCTCTGTTCTTTGTATTTGCCTTTCAAAACCTTTTAAACTATTAGTTGTTTAGCAGAACCAATTTTTTTACAAAACCCTTTTTACAGTACATGTTTTATTTTAAAAACTCTAAGCTGCTTAAATTTTGCAAGCTGCCTTGGGTGTCTTTGCAGTAGAGATGTGGGATATATATTGAATGAATAAACAAAACAAAAGTTAAGAAATAAAATTATATATTGGCTTTAATTGTACATTTCTGTTAATGCTTCTCAATAAGTAATGGAATTATGAGTAAAGAGCAGATCCTATGTGCATGCATGAGTGAGCATTAGTGTGTGTGTCATCTATTATTTTAATTTAATCTTTAGGTCCAAGTTCTTCGGAATGCTGGAGAAGAGGTGACCCTAACTGTGTCTTTTCTCAAAAGAGCACCTGCATTTCTCAAACTGCCCCTCAATGAGGATTGTGCATGTAAGCATTAATGATTATTTCTAAGAAGTAAGTCCCTCTATTCGTACGAGTTTCAACACCAATTCACTTACTACGTTTTACATCTGTTTCAGCTTCAAAGTAGTACTTTGTCAGCCCCTTTCTTTTTTTTCCCTTCCTCTCCCCTTTCTTTTTTCCCCTGCCCTCAGTTGAAGGTGGCCAAAAGGTTGTCTGGAAAAGAAGATAAAATTTTTGATCATGTGAATGTAACTTTTCTAGTTCATGTCCAAATCTATACCCCCCCCCCCCAGCATTTGCAAGAGAGCTCAACAAAAGTGTCTTCCTTTCACTTGTAATCGACAGTATTACAAATCACTTTTAATCTATGCTCTAAAAATCAATTGAGTGGTTGCTTTGAGAGCTATTAAAGTTATTTGACTTAACAATAATTTGTCCAGAGTGTTTACATTTCATCTTTTATTCAACATGTAATGGCAGCAAGATGGAGAAGGGTTGCTTCTCCCTGATCATTATCTTGACAACTGAGAGTGAACAGGTATTATCTTTAGGACTTTTCAGGTTCCAGATATGGGCTTTAACAAATGTATGTGTTTAAGTAAAGATGAATAATATCCAACAGGATAAGTATTTTGTTTTACTTCTTGATTAGTCCCACAGAAGAAACAGAGAGAAAACTGTCTTCTTATTTTTTTTTTATTGACAAAATTGTAGACTTCAATTTTAAAATAATGCTAATGATATAGTTTCAAATATTACAGTACTTTTGCATTTTTGTTGCCCTCTGTCATCTTCTTCAAGTTCTCATATCCTGTTGCTCACTTTTATATGGAAAATAATAAGTTCCTTGTGTAAAAATGTCCTTTAGATTAATTTGATTACTCTTCTTCTTGTAATGCTAAGCAAGCAACAGGCTCCCACCTGTTTTTGCACCTCCCAAACCCCCCACCAGAGCTGTCAAATTCAGCAGCAGGATAGCAAAGAAAGCAGCAATGTGCCAAAACATAGTGTGTTGAAAAGATATGCCTTGTTTTAGAGGAAAATAACCTTATGAAGATATGGTTCTTTTCTAGCACATGGTACATGTTCCTAACATGTCTTGTTTTAGAATGTGATTTTTTAAAAGTGTTTTTACACTTACAAATATTGCTAAAGTAAGAAATTTTAGTAAGCAGCACCCACAGCTGTGATTTTGCCATGCACTGAAATTGATTCCTGGGACCAATTATGTTGCTCCCCAATATGTTAACTAATGGTTAAATGCAAGGATTGACTCATGTGGTCTTCCATGTGGCCCCAAGGTCTACCCAGCTATTCCCCAAATATTTAGGCCAAAGCAATTTTTGGGCCCCCAAACAACTGAAATGTGTCTTGGTATTTAAATCCTAGTTGAAATGGATAATATCCTAAAACTGTCAAAAATGATCAAGAATAAAGTAACAGCAATTTTATAAATTTTCTTCCTGTTTCTTAAATAATGCCAGTGTGCATCCCATGTAGGGCCGAGGGAGCTGGAAAATGATCCTCAGACCGCCTGCATGGTTGAATATTGCCATATGGTGGGGATTAAAGTGAGTTGCAAGATATATTGCAGATCCAGCATGGGTTTTGCTTATTAAAAGATCTTAAGTTGGACTCTCCTGGTAAGGTAAGCTTCCCATGAAGCTTACCTTCCCATGAAGCTTACCTTACCAGTAGAGTACGTGGTTCACGGGAACCGTAATAAAACATGCACCATCCTGTATGTTTGACAAAATTGAGAATCATAAGTAAGGTGAATGAATATTGGATTTGTTCATATGACCATTCTTCACAGAAATTCAGAGGTCCATGCTACAGTGCAGAATGAAGTTGTATTATAACCAAATGGGTGTCAAGTTTGCCTGTGAAGGTTTCTACTTTAATAGTATGTGAAACATTTATGTGTTTATATTTTATTAGGCATTCCTAGTGATCAAAGTAGTGGTACATCATCACCTCTGTGTGACAGTGGTTTACATCTAAACTACCATCCCAATAATACGGTAAGATAATACATTTTTTTGACCTGTCAGAAAGATGAAAATGCTCCAGCTGGGGTAACTGATTGAGAAGTCTGCACCATAGAAGAGCTTGTCAGCATTACACATTAAATCTGTTGAAGCTGAGTGTTACTCCATGTAAAAATTGTATTTCATCCAAATGATTTTCCTGTTGAAACTGAATAAGGCTAAGAGCATGCAATGAAATGGCAAATTTGAGGGTTTGCATTTTTGTCCAAAATATATCCGTTTCTACCATAGCTAGATAGGATTTTCTTCCTGGAAGAAAAAGATGTTAGTTTCTGACGTAATAATGGAATGTACCCACACACTTCGAATTCCAATATTCTGCTCCATTTTAGAAATTATATCTGCCTCTAGGTTTGGTACATAGTGAGTCAGGAGTTTGCCATCACCACTGTACCTGTCTCTTAAAGTGACGCACTTGAGGTGTTTACAGCAGAAATGAACTTACTGTTCAGTACATTTGAGGCATTTGATTCTCCTAGTAATTAACACACATATCCTGCCTGAATGCTTCAAACACCACACATGGTTTTTAAGTTTAATTTTTTGCCTCCTTATGAAGCAGCTGAGACTCGTTCTGTGGCCCCTTTTGTTCAATAAGTAATGCAAACTGACATAATGGTATAGAAAGTATATGTGGGATGGTGATATGGTAATCTCATCTAATCTGTGTGGACCACAGGTAACAATACATTCTGAGTTTTGTTAGAAAAAGTATATCCATGGCTTTGTTGATTGGGTGAGGATTGGGGATTTTTTTCAAACTAATTGTTGCTGTTTATTTATTTATTTATTACATTTATATACTGCCCCTCTCAGCAGGTGACTCAGGGTGGTACACAGTCAGCATCAAAAACATAAATATAATAAAACAGTTAATTAAATATAAAACCAGATAAAACAATCAATATCAATAAAACATGTATCAGTTTGAGTTTCCTTGTTAAAAATATCCAATAGCGTCATCGTTCCGTTTTTTCCTCTATGTCTGTTATATTGTATCTGCAAACCCCTGCTCAAAAAGCCATGTTTTGACATTTTTTGGAATGTTAAAAGGGAAGGGGCCAATCTAATACCCCTAGGGAGGGCGTTCCATAGCCAAGGGGCCACCAATGAGAAGGCCCTGTCTATCGTCCCTGCCAAACGTACTTGTGATGAAGGCAGGACTGAGAGCAGGGCCTCCCCAGACGATCTTAAAGTCCTGGTGGATTCATAAGGGGAGATGCGTTCTGACAGATAAGTTGGGCCAGAACCGTTTAGAGCTTTATAGGTTAAAGCCAGTACTTTGAATTGTGCCCAGTAGAAGATTGGCAGTCAGTGGACCTGGCGCAACAGGGGAGTAGTGTGCTCCCTGAGCACAGCTCCTATTAACAATCTGGCTGCCATTAGTTGGACCATTTGAAGCTTCCATACAGTCTTCAAAGGCAGCCCCACCTAGAGCATGTATCTTCCAATTTATGGTGATCCTAAATCAAATGATCACAAGGATTTCTTAGCAAGACTTGTCCAGAGGGGGTATGCTATTGCTTCATCTGAAGTTGAAAGAGTCTGTCTTGCCCAAAGTCATCTGGTTGGTTTCCATGCCCCATCTTCAGAATCAAAGTCCAATGCTCAAATCAAATCACGATACCACACTGACTCTCAAACATTAGGTATTTTTCCATGACGTTGTTTTGCCTTTAGAGCGCTCTTCTCAGATCTATTCAAAATTGATGGAGTAAAGAAGTGCTTTACTCATTATTGCTGGCAATTCTAACTCAATTCAAATATAATCCAAAGTATTCTGTCTTGCACCATTTAATGCTACTAATGCAAACAGATCTGAGCTAGGATCTTAGAAGTGTTTTCTCCCAATTGTTGAACAATTCATAGGCAAGAGGTAGTTTATTTGTTGGATAAATGGTACCAGTCCCCAAACTGATACAAGAGTTTTCAGACTCTGCCTGAACTTCATTTAGCAATGCATCATAGCTGCTGACAGACCCAGAGGCTCAAATAAACACCTGAAATGTTACAGCTTTATCGTGTAATACCCTGCCTCCAGAACTGTCTAGAAAGATTCAGTCAAGAACATTTTGACACTTCTTTCTGTTTTCAGGCAAGGCATACTTAAGTAATAGCTTTTCCCAAGACTCTTGTATTTTTTTGTCTTTATGTCTTCTGGTTATAGAAATGTTGAAATGAAAATATTATTTCAAATGTCGGGGCTAGACTCTATGCCAACATAACTACGTTAGTACAGGCACTGCAAAAGAAAGATAAGGGCAACAGGCACAGTGACACTGAGGGGATATATTAGGGCTTCCAGGTATCAGCGCATGGATTCTCTTTTCCAGTTTTCAGGACAAGGAGAAGGAATCTCAGGCCAAAAGGACTAAACAGGATGCCATGGGAACATTTTAAATCTTTCCACCACACATGCACATTGGAAAACCCACCCAGTGTTCCCATGGTATCCTTTCCATGAATGAATGACTTTAAATGAGGACTCAAGGGACAGACATTGTAAACTCTTCCAGAAATATATGAAATCAATGGGTTTTTCCTACCTTACAGTCATTGGCATGTACATTGTTTTGGATACTCTCCTCAGAATTCAGAGGGCAAATTGATACAGGATGCCCCTTTTTAGAATGCTTTCCTCCAAAGTGTACTCACTGGTATCAGAGCTTTTACACATGGGTCAAACGATTACTGCTGGACTTTTCTGTTCAATATGTCAGTGTGTTCATTCATACTGTTGCATACTATTGCATTTAAAATTGATTGTGTAGATAATTTCATGTGATTTTTTTAAAAAAACAAGATTGTTAGCTTTATTTTCCACAATATTTCCACATTTATTTTTGTTTGTTTGATCTACTGTATTATCTCACATTTATTCCAAGATGGAATCCCAAATAAAAATGAGCTAGGGATAAAAGTAAAATGGTTTTTAAAAGTTACAACATAAGTAAGAAAGATATATTTAACCCTGTGGATTTAAAACATTGCACTAAAGATAAAAATAAAGCACACTTCCCCACAAAATGCCTGATCTGCATGATCAATTAGTGTCTGCATCTTTACCTGCTAATGAAAGTAAAGCATGATGCTCCAGCCTTAGCCTCAGATCAGGTAGAAGGAAGTTTCAAGCCTGAAAGCATCTATGGAAAATGTTGTCTGCCATTTATTTATTTATTTATTTATTTATTTACAGTATTTATATACCGCTTTTTTACCCCTAGGGGTTTACACATAGATAATGGCAAAATTCAATGCCTTACAACTACAATAGTAAAACCGCAAATTAGACATAAATCATATTAAAACAGTACATCCCCAAGCATCAAAACAGTCATTAAAACCATAAAACAATCTCATCAGTCAAGTTGCCGTTCCAGTCCTTGTTCCTCTAAAAAGCTGCATACATCTATTGTCTGAAAGCCTGCCATGTCATTGTTTGAACAGCTATAGATTAGCTGTTACAGTCTATTGCCATCCCACCCCTGAAATAAGAGACCAGTCAACAGCGTGAATTAAAATATGAACAATTTATTTAAATGTCACCTGAATTAACCTTATCTGACTTGCAACATGTAACTAAAATGGCATGAAATTGGTGTTGCCATCCCCATGGGATGCTTAAAGAAAATGACCGTCCCCATGTGGAACTCATGGGAAAAGGGGGTGGGCGAAGGGCCCAACCACCTTCCTCTAAGCCGCCCCTGGAGCCCTGGCAATGGCAGAGCACATGAAGCAGTTATGAAACCCCCCCAAAACACGGAGGCCCAGCACTGAACCCATCCACCATCAAAAAGGAAAGGGGCTCTTAGCACAGATAAGGGGGGGGGCTTCTGGTGGAACTATTTTCCTCATAACCAGTCTCCTTTCAGTGTAGGTGGCAAAAAGTGCCTTAGACTTGTCATCCAGATTCTATAACATGTCGAATGACATGTCTAATAGACTGTAATGACTACATCACAATGCAGGGGTTTTTTTTACACTTGTAGATTCGAAGTATCAACTCAGTAATTTTCTCCATAAATGGTATAGGCTCCTTTTTGTGAAAAGTATCTCTGATAATAATAATAATAATAATAATAATAATAATAATAATAATAATAATAATTGTTATTATTGTTATTATTATTATTATTATTTCTTACCTGTCTCTTCTTACAGGTCGAGGTGAGTTACAACATTGCTAAAACAGACATTCATCTAAAAAACATAATTTAAATACATATATCAATACATATTTCCACAAAATACATATTAAAATACACAAAACAAAAATTAAACATTAGATGTGAGGTGGAGATAGCATATGTTCTTACATATTAAGAACATATGTGGAAAAAATCAGTTAAAAGTAAATGTAGTTTCTTATATAATGGTGGTAGAGTCCGGCAAAGTAGCATTTTTGATGTTTGATTCTTATACCTTTAAATAGACAGGAGTAAAGGAAAAAACAGGGTGGGGGGAGCATGCAGTTATTGTGAAGGGTGATGCTGAAGCCAAAGCTTGAAAGATATTTGAAATATTTTTCAGGACACACTTTCATGTTCTTCGTGGCCTACATCTCCAGGGCTCAGGTGGGAGAAAAGATGGTGTGATCTACGATTAATCCCACTTCTTCACTCCCGGTTCTCTCAATATCTCCCAGGATCAGATATGTGCAGGTAAGTAGAAATAATATACTTCTTCTGTATTAAAGAGTAAATCAGTTATTCTTTGTGTGCTTTGGAGTGAAGAATCTGGGGCAGAATCTGAGATGATTTACTGCAACTGAATGGTAGGAGAGGTTTGGGATGTACTTCACCATCCCAAATCTCTTTGAAAAGGAATATCCCTGAAGTTTGCAGGAATCTTTTTTAAAAATAGAATCACTATTGAAGTATTGTCAAAACAGGAAGATAACTACGAGTTCTTTTACCCCACCTAATACTACTATTTTGCACCTCAACTGCTGTTTAAGACATTCTGTGTTCTGTGGGTCACGACATACATCCTTACATTATATACATTTGGACGTGTTAGCTTTGAGTACAGTACTATTTCTTCCATTGATATGATGTTTTGTAGCATGTTTCATTCACATTAAATCTATTTTGGCACTTTTTATGTTTTCCATGTTTACACCTGTGTGTATGAGTTTGTGTTCATTCAGGGATTTTGTGACCTTGGGTTTTGTGTATCATTATATAGTAATAACAAAATGTATTTCTTATGTCTGTTATGCATAGGCACATTTGACCCTAGCATGTCTGTTTACCTACTCATTGTGACCCTATGAATTTCATAGGGTTTTCTTAGACAATGAATTCTCAGAGGTGATTTTGCCAGTTCCTTCTTCTGAAATATCCTATAAATATAGTATTCATTAGCAATCTCCCATTCAAGTAGTAACCAGGGCTGACCCTGTCTGCCTTCCAAAATTAGACAGGATCTGGTGCCTTTAAAGTAATTAACCTTAAATAATTTTGGAGTAAGGGCCCACAATTTTGTAATAGCCTATTTGATGTCCCTGTTGTAATTGAGCTGTAGGAGCTTTACAGTACCATGTACCACCCACTTTGTGTTGAAGAAAGTCAGGGCATACAGGGCAATTGATGTTGATAACACCAGTGATGAATATTAAACAAGGGCTATCACTGCCCTGTCACTTGTCCAAAACAGTTTTTTTTCATACAGATTTATCCCAGACTGCTGACCATGTTTTTCACACAGGTTTGCCAATAAAGAATCAATTATTATGCTTTCTACTTATACTTATGGTAGCTTGGCTTTATAAAAGCCATTTAATGAAAGAAAAGAAATACAATTAATACTCTTAGGTACATTTCTTCTGAGATTCTTTATAATTGAGAACTAAAGTACTTAATTCTAATTTACATAGAAAATGTTTTCAGTTGTATTGAGCAAAACTTTAATTGTCTATAAGTGAAGTAGACTATTGGTTTAATAAATTAAATTTATACCTTTATGCAGAAGAAATGTGTTATTTGCTGCCAGTTGGAAAATAAAGTACTTTCAGAAATTATGGAGTAATCAAAGAATATGCCAGAGAGACTTCAATATGAAGTGTGAACAGGAAATAGATTTTTCATATGAATCCATGTTCTTCTAATGCATTTGGAATGACTGCATGTTTGAAAGTTGTTAGTATTCAAATCTACTTGTATGTAAGATTCTAACATTAAAAATAAGACATCATTTTATTCAACCATAATGTATTTTTCCTCACCTGAGGAAACATGTGTATGTGTGTGTGTGTTTAGTTGACTAGTTGAAAGGATGCAAGTTGTCGGAGTGGGGGGAGTGATAGTTTTACAGCATAGCATTGGTGATAATCAGGTAAATCAGAAATCAATATGTCTGTCCCTGAACCTGTAAGTCCCCAATAAAAGTTTCCTAAAGCATTATGTCTGTGAACTATTTTACTAGTTTTTCAATGCCATATTGAGAATGTTATTTATTAGGGCTGGGCGGTTTCGTTTCGTTAATTCGTAATTCGTTAATAATTCGTTAATTTTTTTTAATTACAAAACGATAACGAACCATTCTGGAGCAATTTTTTAAAAACGAATTTTTAAACACGTTTTGTAAATGCTTCGTATTTCGTTATTGTATTCGTTTCGTTATTGTTCTGAGGTCGTTTCGTTATTATTTCCGCATGTCTGGGGCAAGTTTTTTGTTTAATTAGTGAAAAAAAATTATAATATCACACCAACAGTCAACAACAGAGGGAGAGGGAAGCTTCAGAAGTTTTTGGAGGTTTTTTAGCGTATTTCGCGGTCGCGTCCGCCATTAACGAATCGATTCGTTATTGTTTCGGAAATCGATTCGTTAATGTTTTGTAATTTTTTTCACATTTACGAAATTTCGTAAATATCGAACTTTTTAAAAGGAAAATTTTGTAATTATTTTAAATAACGAAACGCAAAAACCCCCAAAAAACGAATCGATTTTAGAAACAAATTTTTCCGTTGTTACCCAGGCCTATTATTTATGTAGGCATTTTATAATGTCATGGGCTGCCTTGGAAGTTTTATTTCTTGTTTTTTTCCTGACCATTAACATTGTCACTGCATTAGAATTGAAAATGCATGTAGTTGTAATTAGTTTTTCAAATAAACTCTGAAATCTGATTCGATTCTGAATCTGGTCATATATAAATAAGAAATATTATCCCCCTTAAACAGACAGCCAAGTACTATTATTTATTGCCACAGTAAAGGAGATATAGGAAAACTGTTACACTTAATGCAAATTGAACCCGACCCAGATGGACCAAAGCATTTTAATGTTAAAGGAAGTTAAAGAATTTGCCATATACACATTTGAAGATCAATTTTCTGCTAACGCCTGAAATGTATCTGCTGAAATGAATAGAATGTTAGAATTTACTGTGCAAAAAAGAGGAATGCAGGGGGAGAAAAGGGGGATGTGATAGCACGTTTAAGGTTTTTTTATTTTATTTTAGCATGAGCTTCAATGGATATAAACAAACCCACTTCTTCAGTTACAGCACAGAGTGATATTGAAGCCTCAGGTAATAAAGTATACATATACAGTTGTGGGAATGGGATAGAATGTAATATTCAGAAAGATGCAAATTATGTCCCTTTCCCTAAATTTTCAAATGCTGACTCAAATGATAATGTGCCACTTCTAAATCTGCATGGATATGCTTTATAAATTCAAGTCTTTAATAGTACTGCATCTGAAGAAGTAGATTTCTAACCATGAAAGCTCATGATTAAATAAACATCGGTGATTCTTAAGTGTTCTGCCCATGTTCCCCCCACCTTTTTTGTTTGTTTGTTTGTTTGTTTTTGTTTTTTTGTGTGTTTGTTTTTGCTGCTGGGTGGCTAACATGGTTACCATTTTGAAAATGACTAAACTTTCAGCTGGGAGCTATAAAATCATTAAGAAAGAATGGACTTGTTACACAGTTTCTAGTCTGGCAAACTCAAAGTTGATTTTAATCATGAAATGCAGTCCTCTTAGTATGACTCTGAAGCCATATAGACCCATCAACCCTTTTCAGGCAGGGTGCCAAAACGACTATTAGCTAAAGATATTGTGCCCTGAGTGTCTCAATATCCAATTTTTCTTAAGGCTTTATAATTACTTGTTCTTTGAAGTAAGTGAATAATGTGTAGTATAGTACAGACAGCAGTGAAGATATGCAGAATGCTACTGACACAGAATGCTTAGATGACTTTGTTTTATATTGAAGTTCCACACAGTTTTATTTGATTTGGTTTATTTTAAAATGTTACAGAAGTGCAATAATTATTTATTTATTTGTTTACAGCATTTTATGCCACCTCTCTCAGCCTCGAGACGGCTTACAAATTGGCACCAATTTAATGCCATATTGTTCATAAAACATAATTAAAACATTTAACACACATTATAAAACCCATTTAAAAATCATGAAAAACATATAATCACCAATGACTTTCTGTTAACTCATTTTCCAAGTTATGAAGTTATGTAGATCAATCCTGAGTTCTCCAACCCTAATCTTAAGTAGGTTTTGAAGCTATTCAACTTAGAATCAAGCAAAACCTAGTAGGAAAAGCCAATTATGCTTTAATACTTTTTTATCATGATGAGTAGGAAAGTTAGGTTATTATCTGTTTTATTACAATTTCTTGTGTTTTTTTACAGAATAGTTTTGGTTTATGTTAGCAAGATTTACTTTTAGTACAACATAGGCTGCATCTACACTGATGGATAATGTGAGGTCGATCCAGCATGTGCTATGCTGGATAGGCTTCAAGTTTGGCCTACCCCCCAACTGCTTTGAAGGCAGGATGGAGTCCTGACTGCCCAGCACACTCAACATGGTTCTGCACTACTCTGCAGTCATCCTAAATGTCCTCCCTGCCCTCCATTTTGCAGCACTCACTCCCCACAACATGGGTCCTACCTGTATGCCTTCAGTGAAATTGAGCAGGCTGATGGGGTACCAAGGAAGAGGTCAGGGGAAGAGAAGGAACCCACTTCCTATCTTATCTCTTCCCAACTGACATCAGTGCATGTGATAGCTGTAAGGTAGGATTGTGTTATGGACAGATACCTCCATGACATGGCGGAGGTAAAAGGACTCTGCTATACCATGTCCCCAAGCCTCCTGAGTCCAGGAAACATGGGATGGAAGTGGGAATGGTTGCAGCTGGTTCCATTTTGCAACTTGCCCAACTGTTCCCACAGGAGCAAATCCATACTTTCCCCTGACTTTGGGCAAAGCGGGGCAAGGCTGCATTAAATGGCCTTGCCACATGTTATCCTAGATCAGCCCTGTGCAGCCTTTGGCTACTGGAGGGATGATCTGATTCTACAGTAATCTTTGTAGTCAGTCTAGATGTTCCAAAATCCCCCATGGATAGTAGTATTTTTGCATGCTCAAATTCCATTATATACAATAATATTACAAAATGATATCTCTTATAAAAATGGCAAAATCAAGTTTACTTTTGATAATTTTTAATTTGGGGTGGCAGTATGTGGTGGTAATCTTAAGGCTGTGGAAGATAGAATCCATGGATGTAGAATATGTGGATACAAAGGATCAGCCAAGAATGTCAAGGAAGAATATGATCCAGAATATTATCAGGATAAAGTGAAACACCTATATTGTTCTAATCAAACACATTTTCAAGCATTTTGCCTTAGGAAAATCACCCAGAGTGAGCAATCTGTGTTCAGTTGCTTCAGCAGGTTTTGCCAAGATTTATTTGGAGATGTGCCACGTATGAAAGCTAAATATAGAAAAGAATTACGCATAAAATAGGAGAAGCAGTAAAAGTCCACTGACTTTTATTGTGGAGAAGAGGTGGGTGAGGGAATATTTTGAAGTCTTTCTACAACTATTATTAAGTTGGTAATATTGAACTGGTGCACTTGTCTCCTGTCCTGATCTATTATGATGTGTCTATAGGCAAAACGCATTCCAGGTAATTGCTGTGGATGGCATTTGTAGTGGAATAATTCAGTGTCTCTCTGCTGAAGACTGTATTGACTGGCTACAAGCAATAGCAACGAATATTTCCAACCTCACAAAGCACAATGTAAGTATTCTTCTGAGAAATTTATCAGAGTTCTCAGTTACATTTGATCCCAACTGTCATACAGGCCTCATGAGCTTAAACACAGAATTATCTGTGCATAAACTATGTTTGAAGTTTCCCTGGAGACATTCACTCAAGTCTGTCTTCAACTCAGCTTTTATTTTGAAAGCTTCTTGAAAGCAAAATTAATTTTCCCTATAGTGCTATAGTTCAGTTTATAACTATCCCTATTATTTTCTTTTTTATGATACCAGCCAAACTTAAGAGCTTTGTGTATCGCTGAACTGATGCTAGGGTTTTTGCTTAGTTTCATCTCCTCCATAAAGTTCTTATGCAGTAGAAACTTCTGTAAAATCAATCTGGCATAAATGAAGATAACTACATTCTACCAGTGTACCATTTCCCTTATTTTAAACTAGTTTTTCTAGCATAGCTTTCCTGGATAAAGTGGTTAACAGTGAAAACATTGTTTTATATGTTTAAATGTTTTAATGTATTTTATAATTCTATTTAAATGTTTATTTTAACAGTATTTTGTTTTGAAAGGTATCAAATAGCTGCCTAAGTCTAAGCTGTCTTAAGTCCCCTCTGGGGGAGAAAGGCAGGGTAGAAATGTTGTAAACAAACAAACAAATAAATATTGAGTTCTCTATATCTAAAATATCCTCCACATGCATCTAGAAACATTACAGACAGACATACTTCTGCCAACCACAAAATTCTAAGCCATGTAAATCAGCTCAGTTTTAATTTCTTTAAAAAATGTTTTATTTTACAGTAATGATTTTGTTACATTCTGCTATCAATGGAAATGTTGTTTAGTCCACATAAACAGAACTATTCACGTACGTTTAGAAGATCCTAATAGCAGTGGCAACCTAATAGAACACTTCTTTAGCTCCCCAATTTGTAAAATAAATGAAAGAAGCAATCTAGTTTTTAACAGTTTTAAAACCAGACTCTGGTTTTATGAATCAGCTTAAAGTAAAGAGAAGACATCATCTTCTTTACAATGAAATATGATTTGTACAGGTTGGTGCTGCCTATGACATTGTGTCATGAAAGCTTTTCTGTGTTATAAAAAAAAGGTTAACTGGGCTTTACTCCATTCTCACATTGTTCTCCTAAATCAGAATGGTAATGATGGGAACCTCAAGATGATGTCGGGCTGTATACTTTCTCACCATTTACTATGCTGGCTAACAATATCTAAATGAGCCTCACCCCTGTTCTAAGTTCTCCATAGCCAAATATATTGTATAATCAAAATTAAGCTGTGATGTAGAGCAATACATGAATTCTTACAACTCTGTAAGATGATCGCCTCCTTTCACCAGTAGTATGATGGCTCCTTTGATATCACGTGCCATTGCTAGTACAGTATCTCATGAGGGTGAGCAAAAAGAGAGGGGCAGCTAAGTGGTTCCTTTGTGCATTTAGTGTGACATGTCATAAAGCTTAAATGTTTGTAGTTAATGGCCTGTCAGGATGAAATTGCTCTATTTATTTGCAACTGGGTCCCCCAGCTTCCATAATGCCTTTTGGACTGATGAGGAATTGATCTGTACTCTAGTCATAATGTTCTTTTAAAGCAGCAGTAGTAAGAGTTGCATATTTGACAGCATAAGCAGCAACTGAACATTCAGACATTCAGAGATGCTTAAGGGCAAAAAGAACATTTTAGCTACATGGTTACAAATAATGATAACTGCATTAATATTTAGCAGCAGCAAGGTGTGATTAGAAGCGTGATCCATCTGACTTTAGAAAGATGGCTATTGGCATTAAAATGTTGCTGTTAACAATTTTTGTACATTTTCTATGTAAGATGTCTTACCTTAGGTCACCAGTGATTATGGTTTCATTTGACATGTGGTGTCAGAATATCAAAATAGTTATGAAGGTTTCAGCACACAGTCGAGCAAGCTAAAGTAGCAAATAGCTYAGAATCTACTTTGAATTACATTCTTATATGTACTTGTGCAGAAGTCATTGATACTATGTATATGTTTAAATGTTAGAGTGTATGTTTATGTTTGTAACAGTAGCTAAGACTAGAGTTATCTAGTTTGAACCAACAGGGAGCGTTGCCAAGGAAACCAGGCAGGCTAGCTCAGAGAGTGAGAAGTGGGCGGAGCCAAGGGGGAGATGTTATGTGCGTCTTTGGAAAAGGGGCAGTTAGAGTGAGAGTGAGRGGAGAGGTTTGGAAAAGCCTGGGAGAGGTGTGTGTGAATAGCTAGAGGTTTTTCAGTCTAGGAAGGCTGAAAGGAGAAACCTGATCAGTCTTTAGTTAAAGTAGACTAAAGYAAGCTTGTTAAGATCTCTAGTCAGGGAAGGACTAGAGATCAGGGATTTGATCAAGGAAAGATCAAATGGGAAGGCTATTCATATTAGGAAACATTGTTCACCAAAGTGCTTCACCTCAGTAAAAGTTAATCATGAGCTGTGCCATCTAGAAGAGTAGACTGTGTAACAAACTAAGTTATATTRAAAGTTCTTTAAGTTATTTAACAGCCTGCAAACATACGCTTTGTACACAATAAACTTGTTAACTTTTGTTGAAGACCGTCTCATCTCCATTAATCTGCGTCTGTAGAGCCAGATCTCATCGCCAATACCTCACGTTGGTGGCAGTTACCTTAAATTACAAATAACAYTTYGCCTCCTCTATAATCATCCACATCTGTACAAGTGGTGCGTGCACTTTTACAATTGGTGACAGCGGTTGGGGATCTTTAAAGATAAAATCCCTATACCCTGTCTATTGTTGGGTTTGAACCTGTACAATTGGTGGCAGCCCTCTACATTTGGCTTGAGACATCACAGTACTTAATACATAGTGTCAATGTATTAGTATCTCAGATGTTTCAACTTTCTGAGGTGTTGAAATATTTTTGCCATACCATTATGAAAACATAGAAAACAAATCAGAAAAAATAACACACAATCATCCTCTACATCCTCTATGAAAAGATATCGTTTGAAAGCCTTGTGGAAAAGCTGTTCTAAGGTTAAGCTCTATAAATTACAGATAAACTAGCTTCAGAGATAACTCTAGCTTGCCACAGAATAGCATCAAGGAATTCTGGCCCATGTAATACTACTTTCACTTACTAGCTTTCGATCTTTGTTGCACATAGATGATCGGGAAGCAAGCCGAGTAACCTAATCAATAAGAAACAAGGTGGAATTTCACCTGAAGCCTCTTGGGTGTCTGAGCAATGTTTCTCTAGCTGTACTTTTCTAACCCCCCCACCTTTTTTTTTTTTTGGTAATCTGGCAAACAGAACAAGGAAGCATGGTGCTAGGCAGCTTGAAACAACTGCTGTTGTTTCAATGAGGAAAAATAAAAGAGCTGAAAAGAACCACCATAAGTTTAGGATGGGTATAGAAAAATCACATAATTTGTCCCACATCTTTAAAATATAGTATGGTGGGTTGTCCCATTACTTTTTCTTTTTACAAAAATAATTGAAGTCTGTGCTTTGGGTATATGGAACTGTTTTTTTTAAAGAGTTCTAAATTAGACATCAAAGATAGAGAATGCTATTGCATGTTTTTTTTTAAAAAAAAAAACAACCTTGTAGCTTAGAGAACTCAGTACTTTGCTTGTGGTAATACAGCCATGGAACTAACCATCTGGCAGGGGTACTCTGAATGTGATTTTCCTGCATGGCAAGGGGTTGGACTAGATGGCCCATGTGGTCTCTTACAACTCTGTCATTCTATTATTCCATCATAGGCCCCTTCTATACTGTCATATAATCCAGATTATCAAATCAGATAATCCACATTATCCACTGTGAGAAATTCTGAGAGATCTTATGCATTTTGGTGATATTTCAATGTTTAGAAAGGCTTTTGTTTGGGAGGTTTCTATGTGAAATGTAAATGTATGTCATGGAAAATGCAATCTTTGGAACAAAACAAAAACAAAAAGAGGTGCATTCTATCATAGAGCTTGACATTTTTTCACTCAGAAACAGATTTGTGCACGCTTTTACCATCCTAGATCAATATTACCAGAGTTACAAAGAACAAAAGTAATGTTTATTTGTGAATTATTTACACAGCTAAATAGACTGACACTCTTAAAAAAACAATCTAAGATTGCTCTAAAATGTTTATATCAGATATGCTTCATTATTGTTCACCAGGAAGAGAATTAGTGACTACCATAAGTGCCTTTAAAGATCCTGTTTTATGGTATGCTATGTGCTCTTGCATATGAGTTAGGTCTGGAATTTATTTATTTATTTATCGTGTCAGGAGCAACCAGACATTTGTATTACATTTTTAACAAAACAAACAAACAAACAGACAGACAAAACACAAAGTTTGCAAGCTTAGTAGTTGATTAAATGTCCTTTGACCAGTAACTGGCCACTTGGAGTGCCTCTGGTGTTGCTGCAAGGAGGTCCTCCATTGTGCATGTGGCAGGGCTCAGGGTGCATTGCAGCAGGTGGTCAGTGGTTTGCTCTTCTCCACACTCGCATGTCGTGGAGTCCACTTTGTAGCCCAATTTCTTAAGATTGGCTCTGCATCTCGTGGTGCCAGAGCGCAGTCTGTTTAGCGCCTTCCAAGTCGCCCAGTTTTCTGTGTGCCCAGGGGGGAGTCTCCCATTTGGTATCAGCCATTGATTGAGATTCTGGGTTTGAGCCTGCCACTTTTGGACTCTCGCTTGCTGGGGTGTTCCAGCAAGTGTCTCTGTAGATCTTAGAAAACTATTTCTTGATTTAAGTCATTGACATGCTGGCTGATACCCAAACAAGGGATGAGCTAGAGATGTCACTGCCTTGGTACTTTCACTATTGGTTGCTACTTCCTGGCGGATGTCAGATGGTGCAATACCGGCTAGACTGTGTAGTTTCTTTAGTGGTGTAGGGCGCAGACACCCCGTGATAATGCGGCATGTCTCATTAAGAGCCACATCCACTGTTTTAGCATGGTGAGATGTGTTCCATACTGGGCATGCATACTCAGCAACAGAGTAGCATAGC